CACGAACATTCCGAGCTCTGAGATTCCTTCTCAGAGATAAAAAGCCTCGTATCATCTTTTTGTCGGAGACCAAAAAGACGGTGCGCTAGATGGAGTGTGTGCAACGGCAGTTGGGTATGATGGGGTGCTTTAGTGTGGGAAGAGAAGGAAGGGCGGGAGGTTTAGCTTTGTTATGGCAACACGGAGTGGAAGTATCTATTCTTTCTTCTTCTCCAGGGCATATTGACGCTGTTTTAAAGGGTGTGGATATGGAGACTTTCCGCTTTACTGGGTTTTATGGTAATCTTGAAACGAGGTTACGTCGGCACTCTTGGGATTTGCTACGACGAATTGCAGGGACTGTTCAAGGGCCATGGCTTGTAGGTGGGGATTTCAATGAAATACTTGAGGCTCATGAGTACTTGGGTCGCCGTTTCCGACCAATGTCACAAATGAGGGCCTTTCGGGAAGCTTTGGAGGAGTGTGGTTTGACAACTATTCGGTTTCAGGGGTATAAGTTTACATGGTCTAACCGGTGGCAAGGTGATGGGAATGTAAAGCTTCGGCTGGATAGAATGGTGGCTAATGGCTTCCGACCCATGTCACAAATGAGGGCCTTTCGGGAAGCTTTGGAGGAGTGTGGTTTGACAACTATTCGGTTTCAGGGGTCTAAGTTTACATGGTCTAACCGGTGGCAAGGTGCTGGGAATGTAGAGCTTCGGCTGGATAGAATGGTGGCTAATGGGGACTTTGTTAGGACCTTTCCTGCGGTCACAACGCATCATCTGAATTCTATGGTGTCTGACCATCTCCCTTTGTTATCATATTTGAGACCAAGTACTTGGGCGCGGAAGCATAAGCGGTTTTTGTTCGAGGAAATGTGGACTACTGTTGAGGGTTGCCAAGACGTCATTACGCATGCTTGGGAGTCTGAGACTGGAACTGTCGTAGAGAAATTGAAGGCATGTTAAGGGCCTCTGCGGACGTGGAATAATGACCATGTAGGCCGAATATCCACAAAGCTCCGAAGTCTGCAGCGGAAGTTAGATGACACCCAAAACAGAAGGTCTTCTCCAGTGGTTGAGGTTCAACAGAGAGATATTTGTAGGGAAATGGATGTGTTACTGGAAAGAGAAGAAATGTTGTGGAGGCAGAGATCGTGGGTCTCATGGATGAAATATGGGGACAAAAATACTAGATTTTTCCATGAACATGTAAAAATGTGGGGACGACAGAATCTAATTAAGACTATTGTAGATGATCAGGGGATATGGCATACATCTACTGAAAGTATTGGCATTGTTTTTTGTGATTATTTTCAAGGCTTGTTTGCTTCCAATGGACTTCATGAGGCAGGGGCAGTCACTGAGGTGGTTAAACCGATACTTACTCCATCTCAAAATTTGCGCCTCAATCAAGTTTTCTTAAGGGAGGAGATCGAAACTTCTTTGGGTCAAATGTTTCCTACTAAGTCTCCAGGAGTGGATGGTATGTCGGCACTGTTTTATCAGAAGTATTGGGGGGTGGTAGGCAATGATGTGGTAGGGTACTGCCTTAATGTATTGAATGGGGGTGCCAGTGTGAAAACAATTAATCACACACTTTTGACGCTCATTCCTAAGATTGACAATCCTGTTAAAGTTACGGAGTTTCGGCCGATTAGTTTGTGTACGGTAATCTATAAGATGATTTCCAAGACTATAGTTAACAGGTTGAAGCCTATTATGCCGCTTATCATCTTCGAGTTTCAGAGCGCGTTTGTCCCTACACGGCTGATTACGGACAACATTCTTGCTGCTTTTGAAAGCATCCATGCTATTAAACGGCATGGTGGGAGTAAGCTGAAAAAAATGGTACTAAAGCTGGATATGTCTAAAGCTTATGACAGGGTGGAATAGACCTTTATTGAGGCTATTCTTAAGCGTTTGGGCTTTACCGATAGGTGGGTGGAGCTAATCATGGATTGTATATCCACTGTTATATACTATGTTCATGTTCGGGGGGGTGGCTTTGGGAATGATTGTGCCATCAAGGGGGCTGCGTCAGGGAGATCCTCTCTCTCCTTATCTGTTTTTAATTTGTGCGGAGGGACTGTCTGCTTTGCTTTCTAACGCACTCAGAATCAAGCGTATTAGCGGCATTTCGTCTACTTTGCTTTCTAACGCACTCAGAATCAAGCGTATTAGCGGCATTTCCGTGGCTCAGGGAGCACCTACTATTTCTCATTTATTTTTTGCAGATGATAGCCTATTTTTTTGTAATGCCCATCTTGCTGATTGTGCTTATTTGATTCAGATTCTCAGCATGTATGAGAGAGCATCTGGTCAGAAAATTAATTTTGATAAGTCTGCAGTTTGTTTTAGCCCTAACACTGATCCGGTGATGAAGCAACTGATTGCTGAAATGCTTGGAGTGCCGATTGTTACATGTCATGAACGCTACCTTGGGCTGCCCACCTTAGTTCAACGCAGCAAATCCCGGATGTTTAATCATGTGCGAGAACAAGTGTGGCACAAGCTTAATACTTGGGATACGAAGTTGTTGTCAGCGGCGGGCAAGGAAGTCTTAATTAAGGCGGTTGGTCAGGCACTACCTACTTATACAATGGGAGTATTTCAGCTGCCAAAATCTTTGTGTCAGGAATTATCTGCTATGATTGCAATGTACTGGTGGGGGAAGAGTGGTAGGAAAGGAATTCATTGGTTGGGTTGGAGAAAATTATGTAAACCAAAATGGCTGGGAGGCCTGGGTTTCAGACACTTTGAAGCTTTTAATAAAGCCATGGTCGCAAAACAGGCTTGGCGTATTTTAGAGAACCCCACCTCTCTGGTGGCTAAGATGCTTAAAACCCGATATTTTCCAGAGGATGATTTTATGCAGGCTAGTTTGGGGAGTTCGCCGTCAATGATATGGAGATCTATTCTGTGGGGACGTGAGGTTATTGAGGATGGATTGCTTTGGAGGGTGGGCAATGGAGCTTCTATCCGTGTTCTCCAAGATAGGTGGATTCGAAAACCATTTACGTTTAAACCGTTGATGACTAGAGGGCTGGAGCGGACTTCTATGGTCTCTGACCTTCTAACGGCTTCTGGCTCTTGGAATTTACCACTGTTAGAGCAACATTTTAGCTTGGAAGATCGGGATATCATTTCTGGCATCGCTTTGGGATCAGTTTCACAGATGGGTGACAGCAAATATTGGTTTTTCTCAAAGAACGGGAAATATTCCGTTAAAACTGGGTATCGTGTGGCGGTAAGGCAGTGCGATGAGGATTTTGGAGTGGGAGGATCGGATCAGAGTGCTCAAGAAGGCTTCTGGAAGCGAATTTGGAAGCTAGCTGTCCCCAACAAAATTAAGATGCTGCTGTGGCGGGCATGTACTGAAATTCTGCCAACTGCAGTCAATTTATTTAAGAAAAGGGTGCTTCCGTCTCATGTGTGCTCAAGGTGTGGGAACTATCCTGAAGATGCTTTCCACGCTTTGTGGTCGTGTAAAATGAGTCAAAAGCTATGGAAGTGTACCCATTTCATCCGGCGAATTAATATGGCGGGGGGCACCTTCGCTGATGCTTTTGAGGTTGTGGCTTCAATGCTGTCGAAAGCTGACTTAGAGCGCTTTGCTTGTTGTGCGTGGAGTGCGTGGAAACTACGTAATGATTCTTTGCATGGGAAACAGATTACACGGGTGGATAATATGGTGGAAAACACGATGGAAATGCTGGAAGTGTTTAAATCTTGTGAGGAGCGG